ATGCAACGGCCGGTCGGGAAGTGGTTAAAGATCAATATCATTAATTAGGTTAACAAATACGGTGACTAAATCATCTGAATAGGTATTTACACAATTTTCCAAACACTGTTTTTTCTCTAATTTGGTTCAGGAGCCTGTGGTTTGTGTTGCATAGTTGAAGTGGTGAGTTTTTTGGTAACATTGTAATAGAACTATATTGTTTAACATATAAAGTTGACATTGTGCATTCCAAAGGCCGACCATAGATTAGCTGTTTTCATTCATTTTTATACATAAGATAAATAAAGAATATCTAAAGTTAAAACTTTTATTTCAGTTTTAGATAAAGTAGTGAGGAGGGTAGCATCCCTGTCAGGTTTTTATTGCTGTTAGTGTGTCCACTAGGGAGACTCACCCTCTCATTTTGCAATGGTGACTACTGTCACTAGGGCTGACACTAACAGAAAATCCGAAATTTCCAGTTGTCACCAGAATAGGAAAAGAGGTAAAATGTTTTCCTTTTAATGATTATTTAAGAGAGTGTTTGCTTTACTTTGGAGGGATGCCCTTTTATTGTTGGTTATGTCTACAACAGAGGGCGTGAAAGAAAATCTCCCAATTGGATAAAGATAGAAAAAAAAACTGACAGGGGTTTTAACCATTATTACTCTATTCAAAATGAAGAAAAAAAAGGTTTTTGGCTTGAAATACGCTTTAAAGTGAAACTATGGGCAAAAAATACACATATACTGTATTCTGCAGTCTGTCAATAGTAGCACTAACACTGCCGTTTTTGATTTGCTGAGTCCCCCAAATAACTTAATTTTATAGCATGTTCATTTTTTCAGTAGATGTTTTTTTTCCAAGCTGACAACATTTCAGGTTCATTCTGTAGAGAAATCACACAGCAGCATTGGTCCTGGATAAACAATTTTAAATGGAATAAAGAATAAAATTATATTCAAGTATGAATTCTTAACTCAGAAAGTACCTTCCATTACTCTCAGCCTCTTCCAAATTACCATTTTTTTTTTTTTGTTGCTGCTCCTTCCTGTTAAAGGGTGGCTACATTTATATTCCATGGTTCCACTGTACATAGCCAGGAGTATAGCCACCCCTCTTGATCACTCCAAAGATGGACTAGGGACTATGGACTGTGGACTATGGGATGTGTGTACACATAGAGCAGTGCACATGTCCACAACTAACGTGCACTGCTCATTCCAAACAGACAAATTGAGAGAAAATGGAGAGGTTTAGAAGCTCACAGGGAAAGGTACAAGAAAACAGAAAAACAGTAACAAATGGTTAGATTACAGGACCCTCAAAGGAATAGTTCCCCTTTATCAAAAAACTTTCTATACAGAAAAGGGATGTCTGTAGATAAAAACAAGCTTTTTGCAGCTTTGATCAAAGTTGAATAATGCTCTTGCTATAGATGTAGGCCCTTTATGTACCTCATTAAACCTGACAAACATCTAGGATGTTTCTAAGGACATTGCTAAGAGAAGCCTGGTGCTACTGGTCACCTGCACCATCATAGAAGTGAGCTCTTTCTCTAACGCCAACCCCCTCACATGCACTTTTTTGCCCCTGATGCAGTAGCTCTGGGCTCAGTGTTTGGGAGCTCACTCCTGTTATGGTGAAGGTATCATGTAATTGCTATGACCAATCATAGCAATCAGATGATATTTATGTAAGCACATTGTCATAAATAGGGTTTCCATTCATGACAGCTTGATTTATGCAGTGATTGGCCCACAGCTATCACATGGTACCTGGCTACCTGTACCATGTGATTAGCTGTAGCCAATCACATCATCACAACAGTAATCAAGCTGTCATCAATGGAAACCCCATTCATGACAACTAAAACTATTGTTTATTACAGTGAACATCACCGTTATAAGCAACAACAGAGTACAAAAAGAATCCCTGCTCACCTCCCAAGAGTAGTACAGTGTCACTATGGTGACACCAAACTACTCTGATGAAAGTTTATTAAAAACTAGTAAAAAAAAAAAGATAAAAAATGTGGCAGCACAGTGGCTAAATGGTTAGCACCTCCGCCTGGCAATACTAGGGTTGTTGGTTTGAATCCCAACCACGGCACCACCTGCCTGGAGTTTGCATATTCTCCTTGTGTCTGTGTGGGTTTCCTCCCACACTCCAAAAGACGTGCTCTTAGGATAATTGGATCCTGTCTAAATTGTCCCTAGTATATGGATGTAAGTTAGGGACCTTAGATTGTACACCCCTTGAGGGTTAGGGACTGATGTGAATGCACAATATATATATGTAAAGCACTGCATAAATTGATGGCACTAAATAAGTACCCAAAATAAATAAATAAAAATAACTCGCCTTGCCTCTTACAAAATACCTTGGCCTGTCTACTTTCCAAAAAGGGGTTGGGGGGTATTTGTACTGTCCTGCCAATTTAGGGCCTCAAGAAAAGAGATAGTCCATCATTACATCAGAATTTCAAATACATATATAATTGTTTATAGACTCTATATCTTTCACACAGACTACATACTGGTTTGGGTTATTTTGCCACAGAAATGTAGCAAAATACATTTTGGCCTAAATCTATGAAGAACAATTATTTATTTGCAAAATTTTGTAATAGAAACTAAGGAAAAAGTGTTTTTTGTACATTTCTGGGTTTTTTTTTATATACAACAAGAAAAAGAAAAACAAGCAGTGATTAAATAGAGAAAAGAAAAATAAAGCTCTATTCATGTGAACAAAAATTATAAAAATTTTATTTGAGTACAATGTTGCATGACCGAGCATTTGCCAGTTAAAGTAGCACAGTGCTGAATAGCAAAAAAAATGCCCTGGTTAGGAAGGTGGTAAAAACCTCCTGGAGGTTAAGTGGTTGACAACAGTTTCTGTTTTGTTGGAAAAAAGGTGTCAACCATATGAATAGAAGCTAGCACCACAGTTACTGTTATATGGTTTAACCCAACTCCTGTAATGGTCATTTTGCTGGACAGCTTGGCCAGTTATAGGAGGTGGAAAATCACTGGATCCACTGGCAGTATGTGCTCAAATAAGGAAAAAATATTGTTCTGATAAATATAGAATTTTTATCTGTCAGGACATTTGACAAACAGATCTATAGCTGATCTAGTAGGCATTGTTCCTTGTTTACAAAAGTATCAATTATTATTTGTACAAAAAAGTATAACCAGTGTGAATGTGTTAGAAGGAACGTCCTTTAAGCTTCTCTAAATAATACCATATTTTCTGTGGAATGTAACAGGTAATAGAAACAGTGAAAGATATCTTTATTATTGACCCAAGGATTATGGCTCAGTGTTAGCTATGTGGACAGAGACTGCTAGTACATGCTAACAATTCCAAGTACATTTGGAATATATCCTTATATGGAATTTTCATTATTGTCCAATCTTCCAGATGATCCAACTCCCAGAAACTTTGAGGGGTCTCTGGCATCTTGCCTTTCTGTTGTTTACATGTCTTGGAAGCCCATCGAGAAGAGAAATTATAACACAGTCAACTATTGCATCTGAAAAGGCTTCATTACCTGTGAATTCCATGATTTCCCAAAAAAATTAAAAATGATAACAGATGTAGGTGTTTTCATGTCACTAAACATATAGGGACTTAATCTTCTTCACATCTATGTTCTAAAAAGACGCAATGACCGAATTTTACTAAATTATTTATAATTTTCACTATGTAAGGGAATATTCACTTAGCTTGGTGAATGTAAGAAGCTGTGCTCACTTCATTGATCCAATTATGTGCAATTAAAAATACTGTTTTTAAAATGTTCCTTCCACGTGATTGGGTATTCGTTGCAAACTAAGCATTCACCACATTCACTAAGCTAAATGAAAATTCCTTTTGCAACATGAACATGTTCTATTCTCTTAGTAAAGTGGTAAATTTAGTAAATGCTTCCGACAGGACATAGATATAAATAATTGTGATATATTGGTGTCACTAGACAGCTGTAGTCCTCTAATAAAAGTGTCCTGGTTATGTGATCACTATGACAGCTAGTCCAAGTAATTAGAATGGAAAAGCTCTTACAATGGGACTGTGGGGGTAATTTACCAAAGGCAAAAAAACTGTTCCCTTTGCAAGTGACGCCATATATGCAAGGGAAGTTGCTCTTTGCAAGGGAATTCCCCCCAGAGTTTTGCTGACTTTCATCGTCCAATCATGTGCAAGTAAAAATACTGTTTTTTTTACATGATAGAATATTATTTGCAAAGTCAAATTTTACCTAAACTCTGGGGAAAGTGCTCTTACAAAGTGCAACTCCTCTTGCAAAGTGAACAAACTATTTGCCTTTAGTAAATGAACCCCTGTGTAAAAAGCCCTGTTTTTACCTGTGGGTTGTATCCATCTTAATAATGTGGTTGCTTGTTAAACTAAAGTAAGCAATGACACTTATAAATGAGACCTTCTCTTCTCTTCCCCTTCTCTTCTCTTCTCTTCCTCTTCCCCTTCTCTTCCCCTTCTCTCCCCCTTCTCTTCTCTTCCCCTTCTTTTCTCTTCTCTTCCTCTTCTCCTTCTCTTCTCCTTCTCTCCCCCTTCTCTTCTCTTCCCCTTCTCTTCCCATTCTCTTCTCTTTCCCCCTTCTCTTCCCCTTCTCTTCCCCTTCTCTTTCTCTCTCTCTCCTTTCCTCTCCTCTTCTCTGCTCTTCCTCTTCCTCTTCTCTTCTTCTTCTCTTTCTCTTCTCTTCCCCTTCTCTTCTCTTCCCCTCTTCCCCTTCTTTTCTCTTCCCCTTCTCTTCTCTTCTCTTCCCCATCTCTTCTCTTCTCTTCTCTCCTCTTCCTCTTCTTCTCTTCCTCTTCTCTTTCTCTTCTCTTCCTCTTCTCTCTCTTTTTTGTACTATTTGTACTATTAAGAATAAAGTCCTAGAAAAAGAAGCATCTAGTTACTATCATGAATAATTAGAAGGAGTAGGTAAACTCATTTATTCTCCACTTATTACACCATTGCTCTGTTTCTTTTCAGTTGTCACTTTGTGCTGCCTGATGGATTTCAACCTTCTAACAGACTCTGAGGCTCGCAGTCCTGCCCTCTCTCTGTCTGACTCTGGAACACCTCAACATGATCACAGCTGCAAAGGGCAGGATCACAGTGGTAAGTGAGGACAAAGGACAGGGAAGGCATAAAAAACATTCTGGTCAACTGGTAATGTACTAAATGTATGACCTAATACAATGATTGCCCTATAATTTTAAAGTACTTGCCCCTAATCACAGAGACCTGTCCATGGCATTAGGTAGAGCCGGCATACTTACAGCTAGAGGAATGGAGAAAGTGCTATATTGCTATATGGATTCAAGCCAATCTTAAAGTGTAACTATAGGCAAAAACCCCTTTCAGGTTTTTTTTTTTGCCATCTGTGTCCCATTGGGGAGATTTTCCTTAACTTCCTGTCCCATACCCAAAACAGGAAGTGAGAGGAAATCCCTCCAAAGGGAGGGAATCCTGGGGTGGCAACAGGGTCACCAGAACTAGTGTACCTATTGGAAAATTTCCCCCCTATTACTGTTCTGGCATCAACCTAAAATTTGGTGTTTTCTTTTTCTTTCACTTTTGATGATAATGGTAAACAAGACTAATAGGGAGAGTGAATCTCTATAACAGGGGCACAGACAGCAGTAAAAACTGACAGGTGTTTTAATCACTCCTCTCTCTAACCACAACTAGAAAAAAAAAATGTCTTTAGTTACACTTTAACTGGCTACCATTTCATCAGGAAAGGGCCCAAAAAAGCATATGGGCTTTGCTCAGAACAACAACAGTGCTGCAGTGCACTGGGTCTTGTGCGCTTGTGCATGTGGACTTCTACATTTCCAGTGCCAAGAGGAGCTGCAGAATTGCATTCAGCCACAGATTAAACAGTGGACTGAACCATGTAGAACTAAAATAGAAGTATAGGTTGCTGATAAAAACAAACATTATACTCACCTAGGTGGATGCAGCATCGACCTGATGCTGTGTCTATCCCCCGGTGACTCTGCAGTGAGAACTGAGTGATCAAAGACCACCATGTGCTCAGTTCTCTCCCTCTTCTCTGAGCAGAGAGCTGTGACTTTCAGTCAGGACGGTGGTTCCCCCTTATCAATGGCTCTGCCTAATATTGTAGTGACATCTGCAGCTTTCATCATTTAATCCAAGAGAAAAGGACCTAAAAACATTTCTTGAATTATTGAGCTTCACATTTAATAAGGAAGAGTAGCAATTATCAACTGAAAACAGGGGTGGCCTCCTTTAAGTTCAAGTCTTAGTCCCAAAAAACACCTTGCTTGGATTCAGTGCAGTTTACCTTTTAGCCTTTACCAATTGACTGTGAAGTTAAAAAAAAAACATTTGAAATAAAAGCTCCCTCTCCACCCTTATTCATCAACTAGTATAAAAAGTTAAAAAACATTTACAAGAGTCAACTTTTTGTTTTTTGGATCTACTATTTGGAAAAAAATAGCAGGAAATAAAATCTGCTTTTGATAGCATGCTACTTTTGTGGGTTATAGGTACTATCTATCTATCTATCTATCTATCTATCTATCTATCTATCTATCTATCTATCTATCTATCTATCTATCTATCTATCTATCTATCTATCCATCTATCTGTATATCTATCTATTATTTAAAAACATTGGCATTGATACAATGGGCATTTAAACACAGAAAAACATAACATGCTCTTGCCCTTAAACCAAGTATTGCCGTTCTTGGATTCTTGAAGCAGTATTTTGCTAATCCCAACTAAAGGAAATCTAAAACTGAATTCTACAGAGTAATGGACAGAAGGTGTATAAACACTGAAACAAACATGTAACACAAGTCAGTTCAGACCATGGATCAGACAGAAGCCTCATTCTCTTCAGAGTTAGTATGTTTTGAATATGACATGGTTTTGAAGTGTTACTGTAGAGGATTTCAGTAAAACTGACTTGAATTGCTTCTACATTACATGGACAATATTCAACTGACAGCACATAGAAATAATATTACAATATTGCCACCTTGTGGACAGAGGGCTGCATGTATGTACTGTATGTATATCTGCATACTCATATCTGACTCTTGGTGATTCTATGGACCAGCTCTCTGGCACTATGCCTGATATACTAGAGGACCTCATGTATGTTTATATCTGTACAGTTATATCCAACTCCTGGCGATTCTATGGGCCATCTCTCTGGCACCATGCCTAATCACTGGAGGACTCCATGTGTGTATGAATAAAATATATCTGTACAGTCATATCCAACTCTTGGTGATTCTATGGACTAGATTTCTGGCACCATGCCTTATACACTAGAGGACCTGATGTATGTAGGTATGTATGTAAATATCCGTACAGTCATATCCAACTTTCAGAAACTCTATGGGCCCGCTCTGGCACCATGCCTGATACACTAGAGGACCTTATGTATGTATATTTCTATACAGTCATATGCATCTCTCAGCAGTTCTATGGGCCAGCTCTCTGGCACCATGCCTGATACACTAGAGGACCTCATGTATGTATATTTCTATACAGTCATATGCATCTGTCAGCAGTTCTATGGGCCAGCTCCTCTGGCTGCACGCCTGATACACTAGAGGACCTCATGAATGTATATTTCTATACAGTCATATGCAACTCTCAGGAAGTCTAATGGGCCAGCTCTCTGGCATCATGCCTGAAACACTAGAAGACCTCATGTATGTATGTATGTTTATATACATACAGTCATATCCAACGTTCATTGATTCTGTGGATGGAGCTCTCTGGCACCATGCCTAATGCATTAGAGGACTTTATGTATGTATGTATATATCTGAACAGTTGTATCCAATTTTTGGCGATTTTATGGGCCAGCTCTTTGGCACAAAGCCTGATACATTAGAGGACCCCATGTATGTATGTATATATATACATACAGTCATATCTTTGGTATCATGCCTGGTACACAAGAGGACTTCATATATGTATGTATAAATCTGTAAAGTTGCTTCCAACTCTCAGCAATTCTAATGGGCCAGCTCTCTGGCATCATGCCTGAAACAGTAGAATACCTCATGTATGTATGTTTATATACATACAGTCATATCCAACATTTATCTATTCTATGGGTCAGCTCTTTGGCAGATTAGATACATTAGAGGACTTTATGTATGTATATATCAGTACAGTTGTATCCGACTCTCCGTGATTCTATGGGCAAGCAATCTGGCATCATGCCTGACACATGTATGTATGTATGTATATATCTGTACAGTCATATCTGACTCTCAGCAATTCTTTAGGCCAGCTCTCTGACCCACTAGAGGACTTCTTACAGATTGCAAAAACCACACCAATACTGCATTGTAATCTGAAAGCGTGCCAAATAACATATTGGTCTTTGTTTCAGTATAAAGGGCTATGTGGGCTAATACACATTGTGGAAGTATCAAATAAAATATATGGGGGTGCAATATGACAGTTTGTGTATGTATCTTTTATATGTATGATGTTATCCATTGCAGACAAAAACATGAGAGAATGAAGGAAGGCAGTTTGCAACACGTCTGATAGAATCATTACTGATACTATAACAGTACTTAGGAATACAATATATGATAAATGATCCAAATTTTATATAAACACAGGTAGTGATCATATGCAAAAGTGTAAATTGCTCATTTAGCAGCTCAGTGTCTACAGGAACTGCCAGTATGGTTTTCCTCTCTGTGGAGTTTCTAAATTCTGTGGGGTGTATCTTCATTATCTTAACTGGAATTTTTCTTTTCTTAGATTTAGAGAATGTGGACAGTAGAACCCTTGTTGGATTTTGATTATTGTGTCCCTGCTCAAATCTAACCAATGGGGATATAGACAGCAATAAAAACCTCAAGAGATGTCATTGCTTTGGTAGGACATATACTAATATTGGAAGATAAGCATGGACCCTGCACAAGGATGACACGCAAATTCATGAAGTGTTCCATATTAAAAGAAAAAAAACTCAAGAAATGAAAAGGCAGCACTCCTCTCAAAACAATTGCAATTTATTGAGTTCATATTAAAAATATTGTGAAAAATACATATTCTACCACCAACGTTTTTTGGTGCCTTGCCAGACTCCTTTCTATGTCACTTTAAGAACAGGGTCCGGCTACGCTCCAAAATATTGGTGAGGCGGAACATATCTTTTTTTACTATAGTTTATATGTCACCTAAATAAAGTGCAGATGTTTTGTATGGAGTGCTGCATTTTTCTTTTTTAGATAACTGCAGTCCCAACCATTGGCATTCAGAGGGTCTGGTGTTGGATTCATTTATTCACAGCAATAAAAACCTGGCAGATTTTCCAACACTTTTCCACTTTACTAAGAAAAATTGCTTTTATTGCTGTCTGTGTCCCCAATAGAGAGTTCCCCCTTACATCTTAACCTAGTGACCACAAAAGAAGTAATCATTTTAATGGAGAACTAAAAGAGTGTGACAGAAAAAAAAATCTGACCTTTTTTATTATTTACAGTATTTATATAAATGTTTACTATAATATATATATATATATATATATATATATATATATATTATATTATTATTTTTTATTTTTTTACTCACTACCTCTGCTGGAAATCTGTCTATTCCAAGCATCTACTACTGTCTCAGTAAAATAATAATTTGTAAGATTAGATTTTAATTTTCCTCCTTCTAGTTTGAGGTCATAAACAGCAGTATAAAGTTAGGGAATTTGCAAAACATTCCCTCACCATCCATAGCTAAAAAGTATTAGCTGGAGTTCCACTTTCATAGTTCCCTTTATTTATTTGTCCTATGAACATATGTGACCTACATTGCTTCCCCTTTTATCTTTGCTGTATACTATAGGGTGACCAGAAAACTACAAACCACTGATTTAACCTTCAGTGTCAAGGAAATTAGCATTTTTTAATGAACTGCCTCTATTTTGATGACCTCAGAAACCTGAAGCCTAAGACAGCTGCCCCATTGCTTCTTATTATAACCAAATCTACTGCAAGTAAGACAAGTGACCTGGGACCTTACTAAACACAACCTCTGACCCTGTCCTTTCATAACAATTCGTAATATCTGCTAGTATGGACCTTCATTGTGTCTGTGTGTTTTCCTGC